CCAGTTAAACAAAACACCAGAAACTCGTTTAGCGCGGTACGATTAGTTAAGGCAGACAGACGCAGACGATGAACTTCGCCTACCCATATTTTCGGAGGAAAGAAGAAGAAGGCAGCTAGATGATCTGCTGTTTACTGTTTGGAAATAATGACAGGATAGCCACCGCATGTCTCACATATGTGACCCAGGGTCGACGGAAATGACGAATATGACCAGTTGATAGATAGGATCAAGGCCCTCAACGATGAGAGGAAATTTTTTCGAACCATTTTTACGTGGAAACTACATATCCTGGAGCGATTACTTTGGCTAAATAACGTTTGTGGAGCTGATCAGAAGTGCATGCACTTAGCCGTGCCAAAATCTGAACTCCGACTGTTTTTACGACAGGCCGGTTAAACCCCACTTGCCACGTCTGAACACGCATTTTGAAAGCAGATGCGACGGACGTCCCCATCGAAACTACACATTTGACGATGCCTCCTTGGTTAGTGGTAAAACTTTTGCAATACAGACGTCTGGTTCAGCGAACAAAATGATGACCAACACCTCACGTTGCCAGGTGGAAGATTTGACGTGACGTGCATAGGCATAAACAGTAGTGTGAGCAGTGAAAACGCACGATGGGTTGGGAGTAGACAAAGGGAAGAATGCAAGAGATCACAGGTAAAAAACAAAGATTATCAATTGGGTTTCCGTCCTGCCAGTGGGGCCAACAGGCGCTGAAATGATGAGGAGCATCGTACAGCTGTTTCTCGTTTGGAATCTCTCACGATACCCAAATTTTCGAACCCTCGACATTCCGGCCGGTGGCCTCAATCAGCTGAACAGCACTGTGATCGACTCTCAAGTGAACAGAATATAAATTAGTCTTTGAAAAAGCGAAGGTGTACATGAATAACCGAATATCCGGAGATTAGGCACGTAAAAGCAATATAAAGCTTCTTTGGAGTGTAAATTTACACACTCACCGAGTTTTTCATGCCCGTAGCAAACTGGGGAAATCTAAGGGTTTATTTGTTGCTTCAAAGCTCCCGGATTTTAAAAACTCATCACTGTACGTACACCTAACTTGCAACTGAGCAAATCGTCTCCACAGTTTGCGTCTCGCTGAGGCGGCCGAATTTAGTTTTTGTATGCTATAGTTGTACGAAACTTCTGATGCATTGGATCTGAATAGAGAGTAGCGCAATGGTTGAGCGTTTTTCACTGGATAGATTTTTGTACTTCCAACGTTCGTGGTGGTTTTTTCCTGTTTATAGTCGGGGTCTTCTTTTCTTGTGCGAGCAACCTGGTTCTGGTTGTAGGTTATACAACTCAGGTTTTCCGGACCACAGGATATTCCCTTCGCTGCGTTTGGATGTATCAGTTTACCAGGTGCAGATGGACTAGAGAAAGCTTCTGATATACAATCAACCATTGCAGAAGTTGGAAACAATCCCATTCTGACCACATCCATGAGGCTTGTACATGTTTTCTTAATGGTATAAATGAGATTTATCCCACAATATGTCAATCGGGGAGCGTGGTCATGAACATGATTTAAAGGCTGCCTGACCAACTCGCTGATTCTGGCGCACAGTTTCAGTTCAGGTATGCAGAAATCCTGTGCCAAGTACAATCGATCCAAGAATCTCAATGAGCTATTTTCCAGCAGATTCATTCCGACCGCTTCACGCATAACTTCTAGCTGTTCTCGGATTCGGGTTGCGGTCTCAGGGTCTCCCACTTCCAAGATGATGAAGTGGGACTTGGTTTCGGAGAGGTGGATTCCAGTCGTTAGCTTACTTTTGAAATCGGGATTAAAGTCCTGCGAGAGCCTTCTACTTTGAAATAACATTTCATCAGCTCTGCAGCTTTTGAGTTTAGTTGCAATTTCATCGCAGGAACAGTCCTCTGGGAGACCTAGACTGCACCCATTAGTCTTCAGAATGAAGAGTTTCAGTCTTTGAAGAAGGTTTCGTGAGTCATTGGCTGGAAGAAAATAGTGGAAGTAGTAATTAAATAAAGTATGTTTCGTCTCCCACATTAACGTTTCTGTTGTATTCACTTAATAAAATTCTGGTAACCATGGTAGGTTGTTGAAATCAAAGGATATCGATCAAAATATCACCATCTTCATCAGTTTCATGTCATATTTATACTTGTTTGGAAAACATCGGTCAGGCATTTAGCTTGTGCACAATGGGAAGCTGGAACGTTTCAAAATAGGCAAAAAATGATCCGCCAACTGAGGATAGATGTCTGTATGGTCCTCGTAAGTAAAAAACGTGGCAGTCATCTTATGGACTTTTCTGTACTCCAACTAACTATGTAGATCGAGGTGTCCTACATGGATAAAACAAATAGTTTACGGGATCATAAAAATGGATATATATTTGAGATTATCCGTTGGGACCAAATGTCAGCTGTTTTAACCGTGATGTGTCTTAATTTCCTTATTTTCAAAAATAACAAATGAGGATATACTCATGGAAATCTCTTATTAACAACGCTTGAAAATTGCCACCATGCTGCTTTTGTATCCTCTACCGATGCATGAATTTTGTGTTTTGATGGGTGAACTCGCTGTAGTTAACTTGACACCTGAATTCATACTGATATATTCTGGCAACTACCTACCAGAGAAGTAAGACGGGAACAGAATATTTAACCGCTAATGTGCGGTTTACCAGACGGGGAAAGAGGTAATGTGAACGAGGAAATACTAGGCTCAAGACTTGAATGGGCTTCCAGGTTGCTTAAAAAGAGAAACGCCCGTCGTGCTCTGGCATTATGTTACTCATAATGCCATACTTGTCACACATTTGTTATCATCCCACACTAAATCTGCCACCTTGATATGGTTGTTGGGGTAGAGTGGTGCAAGGATCCTGCGGGCTACATTGGCTGGAACTGGCTGGAACTTCACTCGACAAGGTGAAACCATGACAGGAAGTCCAAATAGGATCAGTCAGACTAAGTTCAGCGAGACCTCATACTACAAGGCAGTTTGGGAGTAAAGTCGTACTGTCCTCTGCGTTGGGGTATGAAGGTAGTAAGGTGTTTCCCCAGGAAACCAGCAAGTCCACATTCTTGGAAGCAGCAATGCTGCCATCCCCCGAGGAAGGACGGGTTGGAAAAGATAGGCCCCTAAAACCGCACTGATATGTTGGCCAAACTTTTGAGTCGAAGGTTCAAGGTGGGGTGCCACAACCAAACCCCCTTCCTCGACCGGGAGGTATCATTTGCCTACACAGTTCTGTGTCCATTGGTGTCCCTTCCGACCCCTTCTCAACACACAAGCAAACGTTTCTGGTTCATTTACGTTTTCTGACCGACGGGTCTTGTGTTCCCCGTCGCCTATTAACAAGAAACAAAATAAAACCTTGTTGAATCGACGAGATCCTTTCTGCATAGAAGCTTTTAATGTCCGTAATCAATGTCAAATTCCAAAGCAGCCCATCTTCACTGAAACCTTATACTTCCTTAAAATTGTTGTATGCTGTGTCTCCGAAACATGCATCCAAAAATCAAGCGTGGTTATGCCTCACAAAACGCCACGGACCAACTCGGCTTCTTCACTAGTCCCTACCCGTTTGTTAGGCGATCCAGAAGCGATTATTCGTGGAATCTATGGAGTGGGAGTTGCACTTAGTCCCAGAGCTGAATGCGCTTCACCGGATTGGATCCCAGTGAACAGTTATCTTTGGGTCGCCCGATTATCCACCTCAACCAAACACAATACCACTGGACATGAAAAACGATGCTCGTTTGTAGTATTGGTTTATAACTCAAAGGACTGTAGTCCCGAGGTTAAGAAGGATACTTTCTATCAAGAGCTATTGAAGCTCATTCGTCGAGCCAGAAGCACTGACAGTGTGATCCTTGCGGGCGATATGGATGCCAAAATCGGTCGTCTAAGCTTTTTTGAATGACATCTGGGCAGTCGAACCGGAGTCGATGCTCGTCGCACAGACAACAAAGAGCGACTCCTGTAGTTGTTCGCTGAACATCAATTGTTACTTTCCAGCACGAAATTTCGGCATAAAACGTTCATATCGCGTAACCTAGCAGCCACCGATTGCAAATCAACGGTTGACCCGGTTGGGTCACGTCACCATCATCCACGGTAGAGAGCCACAATTCAAGACTGCCGTTCATTTTGAGGCACATAACTTGATTCTGATCATGCCATGGTGCGAACATGCCCGACATTTCGTCCCCCTTCAGGCCCTCGCAAGTCGGCAAGAAGCATGCCACTTCACCACCTTTGAAGAATTACCATAGCCAAGCAGTAGCGATGTGAGCTAGCTCAACAACTCTCTACAGTAAACCAACACTGTAATGGTGGCGAGGACGTGGATTAAGCATGGCAAAATGTGAAAGGAGCTATGCAAGTGGCGTCGGGTCGTGTCTGTCCGACTTCTTCCATTCGGAAGAAAGACCGCTGGATATCGTTGAGATCGCTAGTCCTGACTGATGCCAGGAAATCCGTACCAGCAGGCAACGAGTACGATGACGCACGCGAATCCCTCAAACGCCAAAAGGCGAAGAGCCCAAGGAAAGATCAAGAGCTCTGATGGGCATAGAAAGTTCGGGAGATGGAGAAGGCTTTTGCTACCGGAAACGGCTGTTTCCTACGCCAACTGACACAATCGACTGATCCTAGGAAAGTTGCTTGATCAAATCTGCTCTCTGGTCTTCTCTTTCGAAGGCTGACTGAACAAAGGGAGTAGATCCGTCGAAACCAAGCTGGATTTTGCCCTGCAAGAGGATGCAGCGACCACAGCTTCACCTTCGGACAGATTACGGAACAGCGACACTATTTCCAGCGACCAACAATGGTTGTATTCCTTTACTTGAAAGCTGCCTTTGACTCTGTGGATCGTCAGGCAGCATGGTAGTGTCTGTGGAACAAAGGTGCCGCTCATGAATTCTTGATTGTCCCTAGGGATCTGTACGCCAACTCAGGTGTACGTGTGAAGGTCTATGGGAAGCTCTCGCCCGAGTTCACCAACTCAAGTGGTGTCAAACAGGACTATCTTCTTCAAATTCGTCAATGATACGACTGTGGGACACTCACTACCAGCCCCTAATGCCTGTGGGATCGAAGTGCTTGCAGGACTTCCGCTCACAGATATCCAGTACGCAGCCGAAATGGTTGTTCTTGGATCTGACGCCAGAGTAATACAAACAATATTACATAATCTAAATAATTCTCCCTCAGTTTGGCATGCAATTCACACCTGCAAAGTACTACTGCATGATTAAATGGACTCGAATCATAACCTCATGTTGCGGATGAGCCGACTGAAGTAGTAGGCAGCTGTATCGGTCCCAGTCGTCTGGCAAGGATGATATTTCCATGTGAATTGGGAAGCCAGAGCATATTTGTGAACCTGCGTCACCTGTGGCGTAGGCATGACAGCTCTTCGGTCAAGGTTCGAGTTAACCATACTGTGGGGTGACCCACATTACTATTCAGGTCAGTAACCTGGCCGCTGCGCACCAAGGAAGTCGAGAGACTTTCAGTGTTTGACAATCGTTGTCTTTGGAGAATCGTCCCAGTCTGGTGGGAACACCGGATCAGTAATGCTAAAGTACATCAAATGGTCTTGGGATGAAATGACTCGTCTACGATAGGATGTGCTGGTTTGGCCACGTGGTCCGTGTGCCCGGCGACCGATGTCCTGGAAAGGCAGGAAAGACAACGACGCGAAGAATAAAACTGAGTCAGGGAAGATCAGATGAATAGGTAGTACAGTATGAAAGCCATTACCAGAAACCTCAGTCCACTGATCACTGCCATCTATTTGTATGGGGACCTCGAGACGGTACACACCAATGGTTAGAGATTGTCGAAATGGCCCAGTCACACCATCAACGGTGCTCGTGCATCCAAGCTACTGTCTTCAATGTATAGCACCCATCCAAATCTACCCAATAAAACGCCCACTGCAAACCCTATATTTACGCATCAATTATATTAGCTACCGCCTCCAATGCACAGAAACCTACGCAAACTCCCCAAAACACCGGCGAACCGAACTGTGGCAGATATAACCTTTGCATGACAAGTAGGTGGTTCTTACAGCGAATGATGATGGTGTTGGTTTGATAATAATAATAATAATAATAATAATGATAATAATAATAATACTGGTTTGTCTTCATGACAAACCGTGCACCTACGGCTGAATCCTTTGCCCATTTTACTCGCCAGTTCATTTTTGTCACTGGAACATTTCAGCGGGTGCTTAAATAGAACTTATGTGGACGAATACCCATGCGTGCTGAAGGTGATTACCCGGCAACGGACATGTCCGAAAAATGATTACTGATGTAGGAAATGGTATTTCTCCGAATTCGGAGACCAGCACCACTCCACAGGATCCGATAAGAGGAGGAGTCTTCATCAACATTTCCTGATAAGTTGCATGATCTTCTTTTAATGAAATTTCTTTAGGTTTATTGTACTCTATAGGGCTTATTCAGCGTTTTAAACTTACCTCTTTCATATCCATCTGCAAGTTCCAACCAGCAAATAAAACGCTCTACTGTCGATAATCGGGGTTCTTGATGGATGGTGGAATTTGTCAAAGATCCCACATCAAAGTTGAGATCAATGGTAAGAATGATTTCACAGTTTGAATCTAAGTAACCCACGTAGCCCGTTTTCTTCTTCCTAAAGTCTTCTTTTGCTGTTCTCATCGTGATTGTCGTGTCAAAATCTGTCCCACTCAAAGGCGATACTGGGACGGAATATTGAAGCATTTTCTGATGCAAAGTGACGGCCTCTCCAAGATATATGGTCGCCCGTCCATAAGGGTGGCGGTCCATGGCTAACGCCTTGGAATTCACCCAGCGATTGGCAACCAGTGGAAGGGGATCGTTTGTTGAAAGCATACCGAACTGGTCATCTTTCGGTTTACAGCCGAAAGGTGTTGGCTTTTTGTCATGTAAACATCCTGGTTTGTCTTCTTTCTTGGGGACGCGATCGTATAAGTCCAAGATCAATGGCGTGCCGAGTAGAAGTTCAAGAATTCGCTGATTTGAGTGAAGACCTGTCAACACCACCTGAAGTGTGTTTGGGGAAAATACGATTGAGGGTACAAAAATTGTTATGTGGACCGCGAAACTCGTAAAACACCGTCAGGAAGAAAGCGAGTGGTGACTGCTAGTGTAATTTTCCAATGTCAGGTGATTGAGGAACAAACGAATTATGCGGACCCCCATTGCACCTCGTGAACGCAATCGATTGTTTCAAGAATGCGGTACCTACAGTAAAGTTTGTCAATTTTACCTGGAACAGATTGGACCAGGGATAAGCAGTCACGAGTTAGAAATCAACTCTGCCTACATTTACTGAAAAACATTACGCTAAAAATCCTGTTCAGCTTTCTTCTTTGGGAGACACGAAACCATGCGTTGCTTATTTTAATCAACTTGATCCCAACACCGAATGGACTCTTTGAAGCGGGTTTGAATGGTCGCTAAAGTGCATGAAGCCAGTGTGTAAATAATTTCTCTCTGAAATAACGCAGAAAATAAAGCATATATATTCCGTTCACAAACAAACGGTCGATTTATTACTGGAAGGCGTTTCACTATTGGCACCAAAACCTAATCAGGTCAAGTGCGAAATTCGCCAGGTTGACAGAGATTTAAGTCAGACGGGAAAACGAAGGATGATTTGTCCTTGAAGGTGGTGCTTAAAGCAGCCCGGTCACATTTGACTGTTACTGATAGGCCACCTAGTCTTACGCTGTCCGATGACTATACCAGACGTTACGCTCGTGAACCGACAGACAACATTCCTCTGATTTTTCATCACGAAATCTGTATTCACCAAGCGGTGCCATGCATTTTATCTCACGTCATAACCCCTTTCACTAGGCGTTCAGTCGTTTGTTTGCGTTTTCTGATCTGGCAGGATGATCCAAGCATGCTTACAATTCATTCCAAAGCATCCAGATAAACCATCACTAATCAGAAATAAAACAAAATCTGAGTCTCAAACTCTAGTTAAGTAGCAATTCTCGAGACGCCACCAAGTGCTGCTCATTTGTGCGTAACTCTTTAAGCAACAGACTTTCAGTGACGTGTCTATGTAAATTTTCGGAGAACCTTATGTCAAACATGTGACATTAGCTTGAGTTTTGAGTACTGCGAAAAGAAGCAATTTTGTATGAATTGCAAATTACCTTACATGCGAGTATGTTACATGGAACAACATGATTTGTACCTGGATAGTCTTGGAAAATAAGTAGCAAACCAAATAAAGAAGTCGGCCAACGGCGTTGCCACATTTTGAAGTACACTGAAAAGTTCCAGTCTGTATGAACATCTTCTACCAGATCAGGTGGGTAGTGTCAGGACAAACAGTGGACCATCAAGCACACATACTTGGCACTTCAACACAGTAATTAGGTCAAATTTACTGACGTTTTCAACACCTAGGTAGTGAGTTACATTTCCTCAAGTTATGAATATTTTTGTGGCCTCCAAGAATCTCGGGCTGGAATCAGTTCAGTGACACTTTAAACTTACAGAATAATGAAATACGTACTCATTTTCACTCTATTCAGACAGTTCGAATAAGCATATTTCTCAACTTTCGTACATTTTGGGTTTAAGCAGAATAAGAGTTTGAAGGAAGCTCGGGGTCTATGACTACCTGATCAGTCCCAATAGGGCTGAGTTGATCGTGGGCTGTCGAAGAGTTTTTAACAACCTTGCGACAAATTTCCTTCAAGAAAATAGGGTTTTGTTCTCAACTCGATAGCGTACGGATGTCAAAATCAAGGATTTGCCGAAATCCAAATTTGGTATATACTGGAAAGCGTTATCTCCAAGAGCGATTTTTTGAACGCAGTTACCGGAAATGCCACCTGATATAATCTACCTTTTCAATGCTGATATAATGATGGAATCAATATTGTCTGAATAACTTGAAGCTTAGTGACATGGCGTTATTTCAAGTGTTTATAACAACAGATAATTACGGATTTTTTCAGTTGTTTACATAATCATCCGATTTGGACGCATTCTGCTCCACTGATTCTGTCTCTATCATCCTAACGAAGAAGTGGGTTAAAGTATTGCAGTTTCATTTCACCCGGCAACCCATATCCACGCGTTCACGGTAAGCTAGATAAAAAGCAGAATATCTAGTTGGTGATACCGAGACTGTATATAGGGGCTCTTAACCTTTCAACTACGGTAGCAATTAACTTCTTTTGTTCTCCCTTCCGCCTGCCGAAGGGCATTTAGAGGGTTCAATGTGCTCCCATTCAAAGACGCAAAACACTAGCAGCCATAATGTTGGCCACTTGTATGGTTCATTCTCACGATGTTTTGCGTGTTATTGATGCTACATGTGCGATAATGATGTAGGCATTAGTACTGCTAGGGCCGCTTAACTCTCTCCGGGGTATATTGTTAACCATAGTGGGAAACTGAGAGTCGTAGTTCATGTGAACCTAGCAGTCATGCCTAGTTTTTTGCTACATTATTCTCGGAGCTGCAAGTGTTGCATAATTTTGGTCATCACTACGGATACTTACCCAAAGCGACCACCGTTCGGAACTCTTTAAGTTTCTGCAATGACTTCGTTGTCAGTTCACACTCAATGCACGCTATGCTCACCAATATTCTGACGAATAAGATAGGTAGTTTCAACAAACTAGCAACTGGTTGGTTGAAGAGCTTTCACTACTGCTACATAGCTACGTCTGACTTAAGATTCGAGGGAATATGTCTATACCTGCTGGTTGCTGGACCGGCTCGTGCCGCTGAGAGTGAGCTTCACAAACCGTTCAACTAAACAATGTTTTCTACGTGTGGTGCTTCACGCACACATTCGAGATGTACTATCCGGCTAATCTACTATGAATGTTGTCAAGATCACTCGTGATCAACCAAGCTCATCTCATTTACTGTTTCTGACACTCATTCCATTTTACCTCCGTGTGGTTTGCTGTTCACGGGTCAGCAACGGGGAGATGCTGTTTCATTTTCCTCTTACCTCGAACTGATATTTGTTGGTCAGAATGATGACGATGGATCACGGATTCGCGGCAGAATTTCACACAGATGTTCTCATCGACCTAAGGGAACGTAAGTTGTTTTTACCATCATCAGCGCCACCGACCGTGAATCACATTAGGAAAGCTTTATTGGTCATGGTTACAATGTCGACATTATTTTATTTTGGTCAGTGCACCCCTGTATTATTTGGTTCCTCAAATAACTTGGGTTACAAGATTCAGTGAGCGAAGCCCTCAAGCCACACACTCAACCCTAAGGTAACTGGGGCACACATCTGCTGATCACCTTAATCTGTACTGTTGCACAGACGAAGATGTAGAGTCGAAAGAGAGTACGAATGGAATCGGTGACTAAACTAGGAAGCACTGTGTCCCGGCTCCTTCTCCGCGTTTGTCGGAACCGAGTGAAAAAAATCATCGAAGGTTACTTACTAACTGACGTCTTTTTCAGAATAAGTACAGAGGTTACTTCCCGAATTGAAATTTCCAGATCACAACAGTAAAGTGAAAGAGGTGGCTTAGTGTTTTCGGTATTTAGCAACAATGTGTAGATTCAGTATAATTTCAGTTAGCACCTTTGAAGGGATGACCAATCACAATTGTGCTGAAAATGTAAGAAACGACTGACTCAAAGTAAATCGTCTTAAGAACCACAACCGAACCCCTCCTACCAAAGTGACGGACTGTTTCGGTTTTGATGACTGGCCTGAAGTAACTAGGCTGTCGTTGTGTGCCCGTTAAGTGCATCGGCCGGTAGGAAGACGCCAAAAAAAAACGTCTCGGATGGTCATCCGAAAAATTCAACACTGAGGTTTATAGGATTAGCCAAAAATAATCGCCGTAGAACCTCATCCGGCATTTCATCCCCTCTCCTTTGTGACCCCAGCTATCTACTTGTCTGTCGCGAAAAGTTCATTCCCCAGGAAGACGGGACGCATATGACCATGCTACAGGTTGGAGGCAATCCTTGACCATACCAAGGACCCAATCGTGGACGACCTGGACCGATGATGACCAATGTGGCAACCTGTGCAGACTTCAGGAACAAAAAGGATAATGCACGAACGGGTAAGCTAAGGTAAACAAAACAAAGTGCACCAGTACGCCCCATTGACTAGTGTGAGCCAAGTAATTGTGCAAAACTTGTGACTGTTCATCATAAATCATCAAGGAAGTTGAATAAAAGGAGCTGCATGCTAGAACTTATTTCCAATACGGATAAAAGTGGCGTAAATAACGACAAATAGGTTACAGTCAGGAGTTTGTATAATGCACAAGCAAAAAGGACACATGTGTAAGAAAACTAGCCAGTTTTCACGAAGGCTAATAAACAGCCCGTCGGAATTGGGCTGTTAGAGCACTTACGGATGCTATAGTTTGTGCCGGTCGGTCGAAATCGAGAAACTTTGTTGTAAATTCTTAAGTTAGTTGAATTAATTGCATATCCAGGGGGAGTAAGGAGACATACAGACCATTCATCTATTCGCAACAGATGAACATGTTTCTTTATTCATCCTATGCAGTGCATTTTGGCATTGTTAAACCATACGGGTGAAAAAAACCCGAACGAAGCGAATTGGGCTGATTAGTGAAGCCTAAGCATAACCTGAAATGTGGGAGGTAGACTGTGTTTCATTCAAGCATTCAGTGTGGACTCGAGTAATAGCCGATAATAGTATTGTCATATAGGCAGTGTGATGGTCCACCACTTCGGGTAGCATACAGCCACAAAGCAAAAACCAAACCTGGAAATCCATGGGTTAGGCTGAACGCGTGACTTGCCTGTATATCATGGGTGTGAATGTCCTTTTCCTGGATGTATAAGTGCGAATTATAATGTAGTATATCGCCCATACACCAGGTCATCTGAAGTGGCTCGCAATGCCTGTGCATTTCATTGTAATTAGCATAAGGCTGCGTCGGAAGTCCCTTGATTCGACTGAGCTGGATCACAACAGGTTTGTAGTATTCACACTGCGTTTCAGTAAGTAGAGGTTGTTCCAGTTGCAAAGCCACTATGACATCCGCGAGAACCGTTTCGTCTGTCAGTAGCACTGATCCACTCAACGTAGTTGTTGCGGGTCTAGTAACCGTGGTTGGCTTAGATACGGTGATCATTTCTGCTTGTTGTTTAACAAAGCAGTGAGCCAAATTCAGCACAAGGCAACAAGATCCTAGCACTTCTATCAGAGGGTCCCTATTCCTCTTGCGGGAGTTGTCAGATAACAAAGTTTTGGAATACGATGCCTTCGTTTTATTTGGTTTCCCACGCGGTGTCTGATTCTCATCTCGCTGTTTGGATGATGTTCCTACATTCGCACCATCCGTACCTGAAACACATGAAGGATAATAACGGTGAACTGCTGGAAATGGAACATCTCAAAGATTTTTCATTCCACAATATCTAAACTACTGTCAGAGAAAACACCATGCATTGCATTTTGGTGGATTATGCAACGTGAGTGACTAGTTGAAAATCTGTGTTTCTAAACCTGAGGTTCAATATATTGTACAGGCTTATGGAACCAGGGCCGGATTAATTGCACGTATTTTTTAAAGCAAATGTTCTTCCCCACTTTGAAGTTATAATTAAGATGTGTTCGTTATGCACTCAACACAATATGCTTCCTTATTGCACGTAAGGTGACAGGAATTTTTACCTTTGTATGCCCGTCGATATCCGCCTCCTTTTGTGGGCAAAAAACTACAGTACACTCCATAAATATTAGACCATCCAAAGAAAACAACTATGATACGGGGATGAATGACTAAGAGAAAACGGTGTGCATATTTAATTTTGAATAGCGTGACACTTTTTCAAGGGGATTGTACTACAGAAACACAATTTCATGCGGCGAAGCTTCACCTGAGACTTCATTGTGCAAAGTCAGCACGCTTCCACTGATCATGAACAGCGCATTCTCAGTATTTATCTGTAGATTTGAGTAAAACCTGGAATCGCAAGCTGTCATGTGCATAGTGTGCATACTGAATATTTAGGAAAACAGAAAATCAAAGGAAAATTGATAACTGAGATGTAAAATATCGACTTGAAAATACATAATCAACTTCGTCAACATGGCTATACCCAGATTGCAGAAACTTGCACATTGTGAATAAAACGGCTAGTACGCGAACCTAGGTCCAAAGACACTCTGTGAGCAAAGCGTGAAACTATACAAACTACTTTATTGATCAAGCACTACTCGTAAGGTTCCTGAAAGCTCTTCGAAATCCCACCAACTACTTTGTCCTCATCGGGGTTGTCGCAGTCACCAAGTGGACTATCGAGGAGTTTTCAGCAAACTTTGTACATAGCCATCCTTCAAAGAAATATAATTCAACATCTCAGATATCGCACTATTAGTGCACAGGTGGCGATAGCCATAATACAAATCAGAAGGTGAATGTGCACTAATAGAAGTTTTTTAGTGTGGTTGCGGCACGTATAAAAATGAATACAATGCGAAATGGGAGCAAGTCAATAAGGGAACTTATCGTATGTGAGAGTCCCTTGGTGAAAGTCCGGACGGCGGTAACGTGTTTTCTCCGCAGTTTGGCTGCTACACGTGTTCCATGATTGTCCGTGGACTTGTGGAGAGGTTGACGTCCTGCTCCCTGCGCGCGCGCGAGTCTGTGCGTGTTGACTGTGTTGTCGCTTCCTATATATAGGAAAGTTTGATGTGTGTATAAAATATGAATCGTTCCGTGCGTACTAAACAGGAACTGACTTGTAGTCGGTCAAGGTTGCGGGTGGAACGGCGTTTGTCACGTGACTTGTGTGCTTGTGTAGCAGGTAAGTCGTGGGATCTAGTAAACACCCATGTACTGGACAAATTAAGTGAAGTTGGTTGAGGGGACATGGAAATGTCCGCTACAAATACTCCCCCTCCAGCGAAAGAGAAAAATAGTTGCGGGAGACATCCGACAGCATCGAGTGAGCATGGTCGAATCGGTAGTCCGAAGTGGGAAAGGTACCGATGTGTGAGTGAGTATAGCGAAGTATCTTTGAACGTTGACATTATAGACAAAGTCTTGTCCATGAACGTATATGTCTGTTCATATTCGCCATAAGAAACTTTGAATAAAGAGTTTCAGAGATGAGAGTCACGTCGGGGGTTGAAATGTAATGTAGACCATGAGAAAAAACTTGCCAGCGCATTGCTGATGGAGCGAGTGGATGCACGAAGTAGTTCCAGAGTGATGGAAGATGGACAGACGCGGCATTGATATTTGGCTGAGGTAATGGGGGGGTTGGTGACTGAGCCGTAGGTGTGTCAGACATGAGTAGAAATATGAATATATGGGAGTCCAAATGAATAATTGTCAGGAGTTACGTGGGTTCACAAACGTCGGGCTCACCAATTATTAGTGCACAGGTGGCGATAGCCATAATACAAATCAGAAGGTGAATGTGCACTAATAGAAGTTTTTTAGTGTGGTTGCGGCACGTATAAAAATGAATACAATGCGAAATGGGAGCAAGTCAATAAGGGAACTTATCGTATGTGAGAGTCCCTTGGTGAAAGTCCGGACGGCGGTAACGTGTTTTCTCCGCAGTTTGGCTGCTACACGTGTTCCATGATTGTCCGTGGACTTGTGGAGAGGTTGACGTCCTGCTCCCTGCGCGCGCGCGAGTCTGTGCGTGTTGACTGTGTTGTCGCTTCCTATATATAGGAAAGTTTGATGTGTGTATAAAATATGAATCGTTCCGTGCGTACTAAACAGGAACTGACTTGTAGTCGGTCAAGGTTGCGGGTGGAACGGCGTTTGTCACGTGACTTGTGTGCTTGTGTAGCAGGTAAGTCGTGGGATCTAGTAAACACCCATGTACTGGACAAATTAAGTGAAGTTGGTTGAGGGGACATGGAAGTGTCCGCTACAGCACCAACTCATAAATAAAGAGGCCCTTGTGCAACGCATTCAGTTGTAAAATATCATAACCCAGCGATTCAGCGGGGGGATATTTGAATCTCCCAAACCGAGTTGGTTGAGGGGACATGGAAGTGTCCGCTACAGCACCAACTAAATCATAAAGAGGCCCTTGTGCAACGCATTCAGTTGTAAAATATCATAACCCAGCGATTCAGCGGGGGGATATTTGAATCTCCCATGAAAACCGAGTTGGCCTGCAACTGAGCGTACTTCGCGAGGCAAAAATGTCACACAGAGCCAAACATTTCAGATGCTAATCATCGTCTACTATTTGGACAAAAATCGTATGCTCCCGGGATTTTACCACCGGTCAAAATTCATGAGTTCGATTGTTAAAGTCAAGCCCTCAGGCTACCAATACAAGGGTTCGTTACCACGAAGGATGTCAGTTTTCCCACTGACCATACTGACATTCAACGAGGCCAGTGTTAAGCAGCACTCATCTTAACTGTGTTACATCTCACAAAGCGCTATTCTGTTTATATTTGGTCGCCTTCAGTGTTGTGCGCTTGCTCTTTAATGAGTATGTAGCCTAGTCGTAAACCATGAGTATAATGTTGCTTTTAGTGGACAGAACTATGAAAATCTTTAGTTAACAGCCTCTATTCATAGGCTTACGAGTGAATGAATTCAAAGAAAAAAGGCTTCGTGCTCATTTTGATCTAAAAACGATGTAACTATCAGACTGGACTTCAGCTTTCGGAAATTCATCAGAATTAAGGAGTGGCCTGAACACGAAATATCAGTGGCAGAGCCACCAAATTCTGTTGTACGTTCATATTCGTGGATGAACTCTGGGAAACGGCGAAATAGAATCTGTTGCATGAATACGAGTAACTATAAGCATCCTCAAGGATTTTTTCCCACAAACTGATGGGTTTGTTAGTTCACTTTAAATAAGTGTTCGAAGTTGCTATACATGGCCTTTTCGACCACTCTAAAAGAAAATGCTTCGAAATTCCTCTCCAGCAATTGTGCTATTGACGCAGAAACAAGGCTTAACTCCGGATTAATTCATTCTCCATATCATATATTATTTTTTGCCTCCGTAACCCGGAATTTTTCGTCTTTCAAGCCCTGACGAAGATGTGCGAATGTGCACGAAGGAGTGCTGGACGGCAGGTCGAGATCTGATTGCTGACTAGATATCCGGCCTTTACACTGTGTTCGAAGTGTGCTCAAAGCCTAGTTCACTTATAAGCGTGCTGTGCAAGACCGTACATCTCGACAGGTCTGCGCTGACGTCAGCCACGTATGGTTGCCTCTGAGTTTTACACTTCATTTCACAGTTCTCTCTGAACCACCCTGTTTCAAAAGTCCCGTGTGCAGTGTCAAGGTAATAACGTACATAATATCGTACGTAATGACGTGGCTATATACTACATCATGGCAGGTGCAACGCTATCAAAACGACCTCTGAAAAACTGCTGACCATCTTATTGTTGTGAGTAATGCAGTCTCTTCATGGAGTGTCTCCGGGATGCAGTATTATTGGGGGCACCTTGGAATGATTGTAGTAAGCTAGCGCTAAGTCTCTTCCCCATCCACCTTTACTGTTTTCTTTACAATGAGGCTTTCAAATAAATCATGGTTGCACGGCAGCGAATCATCGGTGTTAAACAATGATGTCATTCTGTCGATGACGATGATGAGTACTTGGGGCAGTGTCTTTGGAGTGCAGTTTTCATATATGCAGTTTCGGGGACTCCAGATTTCGAGATATGGCGACCAGACACCTTAAATTTTTACCTATACCTCACAGCGTTTGCAAAAAACTTTGACTGCACCAGCAGCAGCTGTGTTCACAGAGGTGGCATTGAATGACAATGAACTAATACATCCTACTAAGGCTATCATTACTGTAGGTTGATGGTGGACACGGGATACTAAAATGTATGTTTGTTGTATCATCTTCAGAGTACAATGTTGCGCTGTGCACAGTAAACCGAATTATTTCACGCACAGGAACCAACATGTTCAGTTGGTCCCATGACGTCTATGTGGTTAAAGCAAATGATTTCGACCACAACATTATGATTAGTTTTCTGAGGTACTGGATGGGTGGTGGGGCCATTTAATTGCTGTTAATGTCCTAAGGTGCAGTCTAATAAATCAGCTACGTCTGACCAACATTTTAGTACGCCTCATATGTCTGAAGTCAGTTGATAATTAATTAGCAAAACACAGCTCAGTCGTTTTTTTCATGCAAGAGAAGTTAATTGAGGCATTTTTCTTCATTTCAGGGCAACAGTGAAAAACATTTAAAATCCCAAAAAAGGGATATTGAGTGAATAACAGTGTTCCTAAATGTGCGTTTTTATGCTATATGTGACAACTTAGCTGGCTTTTCATGAAGAAAGGTTTTTGAAGACTGTTCAATGGTATGTTGACCGAATTAGAAGGAATTGGATGACGCAGACAAGAATATATTGTTTGCCTTGAATTAGTTTCAAGACAGTCGCGGCTGATCATCCAGTGAAGTAGTTAGACCAATATTTCAAAACCCAAAGCCCCTAAAACTACAGACTTAGGTCATAGGGTAACCTGAGTGTTGGAGTGATCATCAGCGACTCACTTGCAGTGGTTTTATGGTGTTAGCTTATTTAAATGGTACTTGCATTCCGGGAGTGCGTCACACGAGGGGGTTTGAGTCCTCTGAAACGTGTGCTGAGCTCACTGCCCAAGAGTTTACCGTATAATCTTATCATCACACAGTAAAATGTCGCTACATTTTTGGCGACAGTAAATGGCGGGGATGCCGGGCAACGTCAATTAAGATTGCAAATATAGGCAGAGTTTTGAGCATTCTGTTAGCATAAACGTGCGTTTTGCGGTGATATTGCTTAACGAGCACATATCGGCTGCGTCTGAATTATGTAGGCTGATTTTTAATTCTTTAGAAAGTTAGTTCTAATCCTCCTGTCTTTCTGCTTCAATTCCTGTAGGATCTGTCCTACAAAATAAGACTTCGTAATTTTCTCCCTCCAAAACTTCTTTTCGAGTACTACACTGAACCCATAATTTAGTGACGCACCACTGAGTGCGACCTTGTCGACCGCGAATCGTTGTCTTTTCAATGTGGATTACGAACTCGGACACGCGCTAAGGGAGTATTGACCATTGTTTCCAAACTCCATTTTCGGTGACTCCAGTCTTGAGATTTTGTGTGCCTCATAGGGTAACTTGCATAATGTTGTTCGTACCCAATATTATCCAAATTCCGGATTATTTTAAGTGGAACACTTTTAATACATGAACCAGTATGAAAATCTACCGCAATACTGTATTGGATTTTAGGGCTTAATTGTAAAAACTTTTTCTGAATAAAAATTTTTCTTCATGTACCTGTTAGTAGGGTGGCAATATGGTTACCAGTCTTACGCCTCGTGTTTCCAGGAAATATTCAAGGATTGCAATTGTATCAATGAGAATTTTGTACAATTTAGAGTACCTAGGTCAACCTCAACGATAATTATATCACAATTAAACCTAACAGAGAGAAAATAGACAACTCGCTCTAACTGATAATGGGCTGCTGAGCGATTCCAGTTGACCGGCTTCCGATGCAATGAATAACTGAATACTGCACTTACGTATGGTCCGGTACTTTTTAGCACAACCTCGATGCGGAGGTGATAACATGTCTCTGTTTCTGGTACAGCCCGCCGTTGTATTAGAATCCTCCGAACATAGGATATTACGTTCACAAAATTTGACAACTTTTCCAACTATCGCCTCAACAGTCTGTTGGTTGTCCCCGGCAAGATTTTCAAAGGCTCTTGGACGATCAAACCGAGTCTGTATAGCACACTTTTCCTTACAGTCCCAAATTTTAAATTTTACCCCTCCTTTACGACACGCTCGCAGGATTTTATCCAGTCTTTCTTCGGTAAATTTTATTACGGTCGTTTCAATCCATGCAATCCAAATTTTGTTTCCATTCCTCCAAGGAGAAACCGCCTTTGGTGCTAACCCTGAAGGGTAAACTTTTGCAGAATTATTGGAGAATATTACGGCGTCCGTAGAAAGCGTATGCTCTTCGTCAGTCGGGGAGTATTCTATGTGGAAGTATTGAGGCGTCATCGTCTTGAGAGTGCGCTTCGGTTCTTTCCGATTAGGGCTCGAGTCTTTGATGTCCTTGAGATGGTCATTCAGTCCACTAAGTGATTGAGCATAGATTGAGATCGAAAAGGTGTATGTGAACGTGCGTGTATCTTCCTCGCAGACACAAGTTTCGCCTAACAAACATCGTCTGAACCTTGGAAACCCATCATCCAGATGAAACTTGCTGACATCCGATTCACACATCACCACGACTTTTCGACGGCGACCTAGTTTGACACGGATAATCAGAACCAGTTGACTGTCCCCCTATCCTCACCGTATGAGCATACAGGGAACTCGTAGGCTTCGGATTCCAGTGGTGACCGCAAGTAACATACGTTGCAAGTTGGTATCCCAAATAAAGTTTGTGAAAATAGAAAAATTCCAACAGTGACTGCAGGATGCAACGGCGTTCAGATAAGATCCCTCATTGGACGTCCTTTCAAACAACACCTAACTGCGCCAAACTGAGCTAATATCTTGGACCTGGCAACAAGTGTTTCTGAAAGTTGGATAATTTCCTTCTAATTCACTTAAAATTTTTCATTTTCGAAAACCGAATGACTTTGAACACATCAAAGCGGTAGTGACCTTCAACTGCACAATTTTACGAAAAGTCTAAACAAGGTATACTGCGTGCGATTAATGCACAAGCCAGCATTCTGATTGGTTAGTTATGCACAGGCCAGGAAGCGCGCGCGCTCAAATTGCATTTTTGCACAAGCTAAAAAAACGAGTTAAATGGTTGAAGCGTGTAAACCAAGCAAAGATCGTCTGCTAGTGCAAGCGAGGAAATAGCATGAAACAATTTTATTAGTTTATTGCAGAAGACCCCCGCTTCTTCACGTGAAATATGTGCAGTGGGACGTTTATTAAATAAGAAATCTTAACGTCACAGAACGTATCCACTTACCTTAACTTATACATCGACCTGCCTTTCTTACACAAACTTTCTTCTGACTTCCCACATTACTTCTTCCAATAAAAGGTTGGAAGGAACTCGACATTTTTGTTTTCCGAAATCTCGATTCACACTTAACTATAGTCATGGATATGTAACCATGGTGAAGACTTCGCACTCGGAACATTAAGTTGCTTTCATCTCAGTTAATCATATTTTCATGCAATATATGAATCAGCAAAAGCAGTAACATCCTATGAAGTAACATGTTAACCAGGAAAGTCGAAGAGAAGTCGGGCGACGTCTCCAGGGCTTGAACCGCAAATCACCAGGTCCGCTCCGAAACCTACCCCTCTCGGCCACCAAGCCACGACCGGCCGTTGGTGCAAACCTCCGCTAAGCAGCTGGTCCTCGTATGTAGTGGTTCTGTTTCGGTTCATGTGACTAGGGCCATGAATCAACTTTCCTGCAGCTCATCTCCAAACAGCGATCTGATTATTTATTGTCACAGGGAGAATTTTCTATCGATTCACCATATACCTACGCTAAACATGAAATGTTCACTAGGAAGTACGATGGAGTTGTCACATCACTATACTGTGGCGTTGTCCAACAAGATAGCCGCTCAGATTACTAGTAGAAAGCAGAAGTCTGGTGCTTTTAAGTTGTATCTGTCCACAACTCTGGATAGATTACTTGCCAATGGGCCCAACTATTCTGTGAAAAAAAGTTGGAAGACGATGCATTGCTGGACTCGACGTTATGGATATTCCGACGCTAGATGCGAAAACATTAATCTGCGGTTTATCGATTACGTTAAAAAAATAGTGGTCATGTAGGTAAATCACTTGAAAACGCTGATTGTTTTCCAGGAATGTGGTTCAATTCTACCTGCGTTTTGGCACAAGCCTTGTGGCACATTTTGCTGACAATCCCCCGATCGCGAACAGCTAATTTCTGGCAATTTTCCCAGTCATGATTTGGTCCTCTAGGTGACTCGGCGTGGGCACCAGAAGAATTTTCAAACCCATTCGGGGAACTAGGCATTGTGGTTAAATGCGACTGTTCCTATCCCAAAACTGTCATGAAGGCCAGCTTCCTGAAAATAATCTCGTAATGTTCGGAAACTACTGAGACCCTCAAGCACAATCAAAATTTCAATAGGGAAGCCGGCAAGCATCCAGATCAGTCTATCCATCAATCAACTCAGCAACAGACAGGATCGATAAAGCGCCTTTCAAAATAGCGTGAGGACTTTGTAACTGTTGTACTCGCGTGTTTGCAATTGCTATCGAGTGAGTGTTTTACTGACCGAAACAAGGCTGCGAAAGATAAGTGACGCCAATAATCTCTTTACGACCGGAGTCAGGCTGATCCCCTGTGGTTATCACACTCATTACGAGCCCATATTTGAAAATGGACACTATCACCAATTTTCTGCGATAGTCCCCTTTTCCAAAATGCTGGCAAACAGATCAGGTAAGCGCTGACCTTCTAAACACCTTTGAATAATGAGGTGGGAGGTCGTACAGACCAGGAGCTCGGTGCCACCTGAGGGAATGTATGCATAAACCTCCGATACCATGAAAGGTTCCGCGTTCATCGTAAAGGTTTCTACGTCAACTGTGGGCTCCAGATGAGTGACAGCTGGTGATCACGACAATTTTTGTTCGGAATATTGGGCCCACCGGTCAAGGCATTCTTCTTTATTCAAGAAGGTCACTCCTTTCCGATCTTTGATGGCTTGGCTCAAAGGTGGTTTCCGGTTGTACGGATCAGTTGAACTAACCTTCGGGCATCACCGGCTTTCGGGGTCTCTTCCATTTTGTCATGGCTATTCTTTGTGTTCACACTGTCGTTCCGCATTAACCATGCTTTCGCCTTCATTTTCAGCTTATTTACTTCCATTCTTAGACAAGTAAAGCGCTATTCAGCCTTGTTCTCGCTCTCAATCAGGATCTACATTCCATTCGTAACAATTGGCTTGTTAGTCTGCTACCATCAGAGAAAGCCTGCTGGCTCAAAATAAACTCAATCTCAATGAAGCACATGAGTTGGGTAGGTCACTAGAATTGACCCACAAACGAACTCAGTCACACTCGCATAACCAGCGGATATCATTTCCTGCGGCCGAAGACCTTTACAGACGTCTGCGGTTATCTGTTCACACTCAATCTCCCTCGATTCCATACATTACCTCTGGTCAATCAACACTCACGTTATTTTTGCGGTCGTTCCAGGCATCCACGATCCGAGTGCCTCTCAAGAGAAGCAGCAAAACAAGCTATTTGTAACGTCTTTGTCGGCATCAGTTTTGGTACCAATCTCCAGTGCTATACAATCATTAAGTTAATCTATTTATATTTAGGGCCTTAGAATGTAACAAAGTTGAAAGAGTGGATGAGGAAAGGGACCTGATGTGGCTTGTTGCAAACACTCGGATGTGAATGGACCTCAAGAGCTCAGTCATCACATACTCTTCTGACATTAATCAGCCACCATTCCCAGCCATGTTTCAAGCCAAGTGCAGTAGGGCTCACGGGGACACTGGAAGGCTGCTGCACCAACAATCACGTTTGTATTCTCTCACACTCGTCTGCTAAGTAGCGAAGCATCAGTGGTGAGCACTGATGTCATGCTGTCAGTGATGATGGCAATTCATACGTTGTCTTCCTCGTGGTTTCCGCAATTCTGAAGGAGGCACAGAGAACAAAGATAGTCTCAGTGGCTAATGACGGATGTTTTTCGTGGATGCGATGGTTTGTGTGCCTCCGTGACTCTTTGAGCTATACTGGGTAGTGTTCGTGCTGATTCACGGATTCTCTCATACCACGTTGTCAATCGTTAGACAGTTAGTCAGACCAGCCCAGTCTGCTTGTCCTCTATGTTGGGCGTGACGAGGTGTTCCGCAAAAAAACGGTAAAAAAACGGTTTTCGGCCCAACACCGTTGACTTTCTGTTAGGCTTTTGAGCCAAATGCTTTGTTTGATAACCCTAATCGTCCTTTCATCTAGGCGGGGTCACCCTGCCAGTATCTCAGACCTCGTACAATCATGACATGACAGTACAACACTCTCATGCCACATTGGGCGTCGCGTTGTCATCAGCCGGGTCCCCTTAATTGCAGCTTACACCAGAGTGGGTAAACGAAAATATACTGCTAACGTCTCTCTTATATTTTCACGTATTTATTTTTCTATACCACCCCACCCTAATTTGAATAATCTCTGTACGGATCCCAACACTAGGAATAACCACCTTGTTCGATGTGTGCCGCGCTCAGCTACAGCTTCTGTGTCCATCTTCAGTAACAACCCTGAACACTTCGAAGGTTGGTTTATTTACCCGTCTTTATTGTTTGCACACTGAAGCAAACAGGACAAGTGGCTCCTACCCGTAAGCTGGATTCCGTCTGCATTGATGTATGCTATCTGTCAGAAACAAGAATACAGTACGATATGCTGTAAATAACCGACTGCCCCATCACTCTTTCTCAGCTTCCGGCCGTGCACTTCTGGTAATGAGGAGGCCACTTCAGCTGGATATCTTGAGGTGGGCATTATATTGAGCAACTGAGCGGAAGCATGTTTGATCGTATACCTGTGCGCGGTTTGTTTCCAAACACCTGTGGAAAAATATCTAGGGATGAAAGTCCATCGAACCCATTTTATTGTGTCCGCTTGCGCCCCAAAGGACTGACGATGATGATAATGATGGTGGTGATGACGATGATGACTGATGGTAGATGATGATTCTATTTCCTTCCAAGTGCAGTGCTTTCCTTCAGGATCTGCGGTCTTGCAATGTGCCCCTTGCTGTTCATGGATAATCACTCGATTCGAACTTCGAACCTTCGATGGCTTTGGAAATAAGCAGATTCCTCTTACTCCACAAGTGTTACCGAGCTACTGGTCCTATCGAATTCCCACCCGCTTTTCAAAAATGGGGCTGAAATCGTCATTCTGTGATTCTCCAATTTGTTCCAACCTATGTGAACTAGAAAAGTAAGTGTGCACGCCGACGATGAAGCCTGGTTAACCTGAAAAGCTAAAGAATTGGAAGAGACCCAGGAAATTGGTAATGCCCGAGGATTACTTTAGTTGACCCTTGTGACCAGCACCTGCCAACATCCTGTGGGCGCAGAAAACCAAGTGTCAGAAGGGAACAACCATATGAAATAAGGGAGTACGCTTCAGTCGATGAGCGGACTACTTCAGACCAATTACTGTGGCCAGTAGCTGCCAATCATCTATAACCCACAGCTGATGAAGAACCCTGCATAATGACCGCCGAACCCCCCACGGCTTCAGAGGTTTATGCATGTGTTTTCTCAGGCGGCACCGAGCTCCTGGTCCGTACGACCTCCCATCCGCATTGTTCAAATGTGGATGAACTGTTCATCGTCAGTGCCATAACATCGTGATTTCGTATTCGTAGGCTTGCAATCGGGTGAGGATTGCAAAAGTCGGCGGTGGTTCGACCGTAGTAGCAGGTAGACCGCAGAGAGTGAATGGACTTCGGTTCCCACCGAATGTTATTTCAATTTTGTTATGTAGACCAACGAAGTCGTGGCCTAGCAGCACGTCAGCACATTGATTGGATAACACCAATAGTTTGATTTTGCGTAAACAGTTTCCCTGTGGTAGCTGGATGCGTAGCAATAGCCGCTAGTTGAAAACGTCAGAGGTAGATGCCATAGTAATCATGGGATCGTTAGCATATCTTCCAGCCATGTATACAAACTACCGAAGATGTTTAGCTGTTCGAACTTCCCTTGCCTGTGAGGACCTGAAGCGGTATTCCGTTTACCGTTATCTGGTCACCCTGCCGAATAAGCCGTTCGGGGCTGCAGCACTCAACAGGGAAGTCAAGACAGAATCCTTCGTGCAATTTGAGTGATCGTTGACAAATTTTGGTCGGCAAACACGTTACAAATAGCTTGTTTTGCAGCATGACGCACGAACATTCTAAGGCCCTAAATATAAATAGATTAACTTAATGATTGTATAGCACTGGAGATTGGTACCAAAACTGATGCCGACAAAGACGTTACAAATAGCTTGTTTTGCTGCTTCTCTTGAGAGGCACTCGGATCGTGGATGCCTGGAACGACCGCAAAAATAACGTGAGTGTTGATTGACCAGAGGTAATGTATGGAATCGAGGGAGATTGAGTGTGAACAGATAACCGCAGACGTCTGTAAAGGTCTTCGGCCGCAGGAAATGATATCCGCTGGTTATGCGAGTGTGACTGAGTTCGTTTGTGGGTCAATTCTAGTGACCTACCCAACTCATGTGCTTCATTGAGATTGAGTTTATTTTGAGCCAGCAGGCTTTCTCTGATGGTAGCAGACTAACAAGCCAATTGTTACGAATGGAATGTAGATCCTGATTGAGAGCGAGAACAAGGCTGAATAGCGCTTTACTTGTCTAAGAATGGAAGTAAATAAGCTGAAAATGAAGGCGAAAGCATGGTTAATGCGGAACGACAGTGTGAACACAAAGAATAGCCATGACAAAATGGAAGAGACCCCGAAAGCCGGTGATGCCCGAAGGTTAGTTCAACTGATCCGTACAACCGGAAACCACCTTTGAGCCAAGCCATCAAAGATCGGAAAGGAGTGACCTTCTTGAATAAAGAAGAATGCCTTGACCGGTGGGCCCAATATTCCGAACAAAAATTGTCGTGATCACCAGCTGTCACTCATCTGGAGCCCACAGTTGACGTAGAAACCTTTACGATGAACGCGGAACCTTTCATGGTATCGGAGGTTTATGCATACATTCCCTCAGGTGGCACCGAGCTCCTGGTCTGTACGACCTCCCACCTCATTATTCAAAGGTGTTTAGAAGGTCAGCGCTTACCTGATCTGTTTGCCAGCATTTTGGAAAAGGGGACTATCGCAGAAAATTGGTGATAGTGTCCATTTTCAAATATGGGCTCGTAATGAGTGTGATAACCACAGGGGATCAGCCTGACTCCGGTCGTAAAGAGATTATTGGCGTCACTTATCTTTCGCAGCCTTGTTTCGGTCAGTAAAACACTCATTTGAGAGCAGGCGGGATTCGAGCCTGTTAGGGGTTGCGTTCACCGAACCTTCGCACTCCGTTAGGTGCTAGAAATACGTCATAAACTGAAATGACTCAGTTGTAGTATTCCTGGATTTTCAAGGCGCATTCGACTCGGTTGGCCGATCTGTTCCTCTCGACACGCTTGCCCGCCACGGAATGCCCTGGAAGTTTGTGCTCTCTGTATTCTCGGATTTGCGCACGTGTGACATGGTGAGCNTAAAGGCCGTCGGTGTTCCCACTCTTTCCATTACTGTTCAACTTCGTGACTGGTAAAATCATGAGACGAACACAGGAAGGTCTCTGAAACCATGGTGTTCGAATAGCCTCCGACGGAAGCCTTGTCGGTCTGGAATATGCGGACGACATCGTTCCCATTTTCGACGAGGAGGAGAAGGTGCAGATGTTTTTGGACTAACTAACCAAGGTCATCCCCTCCTTTAGTGTGCACTCTGCATCCCACAAATTGTAAGGTCATGCTCGTGGACATGCAGTCACTGAACACACCACTTAGAGGCACTCAAAGTTGTGGAGCGTTTTGCGTATCTTAGATGTTGTGTTAGTTCTGATTGTAGTGTGACAGCTGAGGTCAATGCACGAATCTGCAAGGCTCGTAGCACGTTTGCTAATTTGATACACCTATGGCGTCAGAGTGGTGTATTCCTGAATCTCAAGGGACGTCTTTATCAAGCTACAGTACGGGCTGTTTCGTTGTATGGATGTGAGACTTGGCTGTCCAAGCAGCGGAACTCAGGCGTCTTCAGGTGTTCGACAATCGTTGTCTTAGAGACATCACTCGTGTGGGTTTGTGTCGGTGAGTTTTCGGTTGTGCAACGTGGACTTTCAACACCAGCACTAAACCAGCACCAAAAGCTGCATTGGTTAAGCCATGTATTACGTATGCCGAGGGATCTACTGCCGAAGTGAGTGCTGTTTTCCGTGTACAATTCAGGGTGGCAGGAGCAGAAAGTTGGCCAATCCTTGACCCAGATCAGAGGGGTGTGAAAGGTCTTACGAAAAATCTTGGTGCTGTCGGTGCTACTTGTCTACAGGGTTGGGACCGCGTGATCTACACTACGCCTGGTTGGAGACACTGGGAGATATGGCTGCCAGTAGATGTTAATGCCGTTATTGTTATCAGTTCCTGTGCAGATTGTCTGGATGAACGTCTATAGGTGTATGCATCTCGGAATGGTAGCACCAAGTCCCTTCCCCGTCCACCCTTGTCCTTTTCTTCACAAGGCTATTAAACAAATCATGGCTGTACGGCAGTGAAGAATTGGCTTGGACATTGATGGCATGCTGCTGCTGCTGCTGGAGCCATGACTGCACCAACTCCACGGTTCGTTGCGTCAGTTGTGAGGACGATAGGCAGCTGGGGGTTGATTAGAATTTGAAACTGCAGCAGCCTCTTCACTTTCTCAAATGCAAGCTCACAGTCGCGTGACCAATTCCATCGACATCCTTTGGTCAAATGCTGGTCAAAGGGCTCGCGCGAACGATGTATAATCGTCAGGAAGGAGCTGTAGTAGCCAGTCAACCCCCAAAACGACTTGAATTCAGCAATAGTTAATGATGGTAGCATGCTCGCAAGTGCTTCAATATTTGAGGGGAGTCGACGCCCATTTTGTCGGTGATAAAACCAAGGCACTTCAAGGAACTCAAGAGGAGCTCACATTTTCTTTCTTCAGTCAGAACTCATAATCCTTTATCCGTTGAAGGACGGCATTTAGCCGACACAGAAGATTTGCTATAGTGGCCCCCACGAGCTGATGTCGGTAATGTATGCGACAACTCTGGTCAGATCGCACAACATTGTATCCATAATCTGCTGAAAGATTGCTGACGCGGTCTTCACCCCTAATGGCGATCAAGTGTCTTGGAATAGGTCACGACGCGCATGAATTGTCAGATGTCTGGATTCCTCTGCAACTTCAGTTTGCAAGACCCAACTCCGCAGTTCGTTTTGGTAAAAACGTTGCCAGGTAAAAGCAACGGATAGTGATGACTGACCAAGGTCTCTTTTAGACTTGTGTAGTAATCAGTACATATACGTACAGCAACATTTGGCTTTTTGACAACATAGATTGGCGCAGCCCAAAGCACCGGTTTCAGGAATTCGGCTGCTCTAAGGTGTTTGAGTTCGCTTTCGAAGATTAGTCATGCCGCGTATGGCACTGAACTTTTGAATCTGGAAATTGGCTGGACGTCCGGTCGTGGATTAAGCACCGCCTTCGCTTTCGAGCAGCATCCAAAACCGTCGTTGAAGAATCCATTATATTTTTGTTGTAGCCATAGAATCCCGGTATCGACTGGGTTACTGGCTCCAGACATTCCCAAGATTTAGGTTGGTTTTAAGGCGTCAGTCGACTAGGTTTAAAGGTGCAAGCGACCGATCTAGTCTATACCTAAGAGCGCAAGCAGCAAGATAGGCGATTCCACGATCAGTGGCCTGCTACCTCCACCTCACAACCAAATTAACCAAGCAATCAAAGATTACCTCCTGAAGTATTTCTGGCGTTGTTCATTGTCGGTTTGAAATGGGGCGCTGCAACGTTTCTCCAGGTGCGCCGGGAAACAGTCGTAATATCGAAAGCCGTGTCGAGCTGCAATCGAATTGCGCTTGTTCTGATTGTAACACACTTGCGACGAGCATCAATCTGGTTATCACATCTGCCGAGTGTTGCGTTAGACCGGGGCTCCGACTGGTTCCGTCTGCTTCATGACCTCCGGTTTCAACTGCACCTTCGCCTGGGTTTCCACGTCCGGCACTGGCTTCTCTTGTGTCCACGTCGACTGCACACTGGACATTTGTGCACAAAAGTATCATCCGCCGCATTGTCAACATTCTGACGGGGGCTTTTCTCCGTTTGAATTCGCCACCACGGGAGGTTGCCCCGATGTTATCTTGGAAATATTGAAACCGGTGTTGGATAATGGTCTCTTCAACATGTGTTCATAAGGCACTGGCTGCAGCGTTATCTCGGAAATTTGCCCGATCTTGTTCAGTAGCCTCGCTCTGATATCATTGTATGAATAAGAATGAGGCCCACATATGAAAATAAGAGACGTGTTCAAGTACTTGAACTGGTCTTCCGTCAAGGTAGATAACTTGAATTGTTCACATTCAAGATTGAGTCTACTAGCATAAGTATTACAGTCTTTGGATTCCTTTCTAACTAATTTCATACATTGGTAGCGAATATCAGTCAAAGATGAACGCTCACCGAAAATTGTTGATAGTTGCTGCACTGAGGTCTCGCTTGTTAACACACCAAAGAATTTTTTGGCAGGATGAAGTTGGAACACCGCCTGTTTTCCGTTGTACCAAGCTTTTTGAGCAATAAGCGCAAACTTCAGGCATCATCGTTGTGCCTCAGTTCGACTTTGTAAATATCGCCGTAATTTCTTAACCACGAATCGAAGACCAGCATCAGGCTCATAATAGAACTCCGTGATGCTGTTGGGGTTCGAGTCGACGGAATTCGCACCTGAAGCAGAATTTGGTGGTTGAACTTGTTTCCACCGAACGTAATTGCGCCGCTTCAAACTGGCTTTGTTATCACGGCAGAACTATTTTCAGCGCTTCAACAGTTAGTGTCATGGATGACTCAGAACCATATGGTTCCGAGGGTTCGAGCGTCGTCAGTGTGTTATGTCTAACTGCTGTCCCCGCTCCAGTGCCTATTACCGGAAAAAAGACTTACGGACAAGGAACACAATGGCTTTATTGCTTTGTTCGTGGCTCATAGGTTGCAGGGAGTGAACTGATATTACGAGCTTGATAAGGAACCTCTTGATGGTCTCTATATACCCCTGGGTACTAACCAGTGGTTCGCTCAGTCATTCAACTATAAAACATTCACTAATATCCTTTGCCGCTGCCGTCAGTTGTCAAAAGTTTCTCTGGCGCAAAGCTTTTCTTACACAATGCTCTTCCGCTTCTGCGATCTCTCTACTAGTGCGTTTCCCCTGATGACGTCATGACAATCAACTTCATATTTAATACTGTGATGCTACTGTCGATGATGAAAACAGCGATGGAAGCGATTACTTCGGGGCATCAGCCCCACTTTCGTACAGTACCCATATTTTTCAGTTTTCTAGTCATTATTGTGAAACGTTCCAATCGTTTCCTCCCGGAACGCGACGGTTGTAGACTGGTCAGACATTTTAAAGTTCGTTACCAAGTCAAAGGCCAACCGTGGGAACCCTTTCAAAATCATGAGCTAAACTGATGTCTATGGGATTTCCCGTTTGACGCGTGAACACTGTTGGTAGTTCTTGTGTCAGGAGATCCCACTCGCGATGGAGTTGGCCTATAATGCACGCTGCATGCCCGACTTAACTGTTTTACGGGACCATTTAATATCGTGTAAGAAGATGCAGAATAATCGCTGAACAAAGCGTTATGTGGATATGAATGAACAGCACGGAGGAAATGCGGCTTACAGCAGTGTACCAGCTTTGTAATGTCTATTGAGTGCCAGCGAAGCTACTTTCCTGGAAAACCTGTTTTGGTCACCCGTTTACTGAATCGAAACGGGCCGACGATGCATCAAGGATAAAATGAGAAGGCTGAACTATTTTATCAGTTTCCTTGATGGGGACCCGCACAGGATGTATTATTGTTTAGGAACTCTGGGAAGGACGATACAGTCATGTCCTAACATGTTGGCTGTTGGCTTCCTTACATGCCTACGACCCATCAATCGTCCCATTGAATCCAATAAATCCGTATTTCAGTATTCTTGGCATTCTGATACAACACCCTTGCAATGTTAATTATGATGACGACGATCTGCTCAGTGGCTAACACCGCGGACCGCTGTTTAGACGACCGGGGCTTCTTCAATTGACAACCGGCCCCCATCTTATAAATTGTTTGCTTATGTTTTATCGATCTAAAACGTAAAATACATAAAGCAACCGTAATAAGATTATTATTTATATCCTGTGCATAGTCTGTAGTTGATAATGGCTATTGAGTTGTTAACATCTTGCTGAATGCTGTTACTAATACTCTTGTGGCACCACAAGGGCACACAGATCATCTGTCCGCTTATCGAAACTTTTTATCTAGTACACGTCCAGCACTGCTTGTGGTGTGTAAAAGATCACTAAATTTTATGCGAATTCCCGTTGGTTGTTATAACATCTTGAGGAATGTAAGAATATGATCGTTTAGAGTTATATTTAACTCGTGTTTTTCCTGAATTTTCGAAGCGGTACTATTCCAACGTTTTGCAAGGCTATCCAATATTCAGCTGGAGTTTTGCAACATTCAAGCGAAATTTGCAAATATTCCTAGAGTTCTCAGCGTTCGCTCGCTGAAATTTCTCTCAAATCCTACTTGAGATGTCTGGTGTGTTTCCTGCGACAAAATGGCTTGGCTTGTTATCTGGGCACATTCTCATTTGTGCGATGTTTACTCAATTTTTTTCTCCCAAAGCGGAGTGAATAATTCCAGAACCCTTTCTGTTCGATCTAGGTCTGTATCCGTCGCAACTTCGGCCACATTGACTACTCATTTTGTCTGTTGATTCCGCTATGGGTCAAGATGAACAGTTGATCAAGGAATTATCTAATTTAATCTCTGTTGATTTTCTCCGAAGGACTATCCTGGGCATACATTCTGATCCGTACTTAATGTCTTGCGTTATTCACGTCTCTCCATTTTTATCAGGATAGATCATCTCTCACTGGATCTCCTTATAAATGACTACTTTCAGCAGATCGACAGCATGAAAAGTATGCATGCGCCTTTGCACTTTCACTTATTTCTCCAGCAATAAATAACTATGCTGATAATATACTACAACTTGCAGCCCGGTGCACAAATGGTTTCTGTTTTTTTTCGTGGCTCACTTTGATAACTCCAGATAGTAGCCGTTGGCGAAGTACTTTTGTCACTGATAACCTAATTAATGAGTTGAAACTTGAGGTGTGAACATTTAAAAAGTGACGCAAATTTCAGACGACCCAAGGGCAACACCTAGTCATGCAGGAGGACAAAGCCAACGACGCCTCCATTGAACAGCGTAAGTGACTTTACTGTCACCATCTTTCCTTGTAGTTTCCAACATTCTGCCAACTATATTCAAAAAGCAATCATTGTCCACCAGTATGGTAAGTTTATGACTTTGGTTCGAAAATCCACAGTGTAAAACTTTGTTGTACTGACGGCGCTCAGTATTCGCACAATGGAATTGAATTTTCGAAAGTTATTACGTGTCCCTGATGGACTAAAGCAATCGTGCAGTTGAACTGAGGGTACCAGTCCAAACCTGTAAGCCCCATTCATGCATCCCGGGGTCTCGGAGATGCTGGGAAATTATCCCACAATACTTTTCAACCAGAGGCATGGTTGCCTCAGTGAACAATGAAATTTGGTGAGCTGCAAAAATATGAAGTACAATTGAGACGGTTTTCATTTGAGCACATACGCAACAAAATGAAACATTTTGGCGTATTAAGTTTCACTCCGCTCTTGAAGGTTTTGCAGCTGAAAGCATTGTGCGGATAATGGGCACCTGTACTGACGCATGTATTTCACCAAGGCTTAAACCCTACACACATTTTTAGTTTCAGTTCACATCACTCTTTTTACTGTTCGTCGTTCAGTTTTAACACCCTTTCGTTGCCTAGCTGCTTGGTTGCCCAAGCCTAGACAGGAGAAGTCAAGATGCAGAGGTCGGTGAATTCGCACTCTAAACTTAGCCATCTCGCCCTCTTTTTTTACTAGTGTGTAACTTATTTTGCTGGTCCACCCTAAGTACATACATTGTGCTGTCTCAGTGCCTCCCATAACTTCGTAAACTGCCATTATTCCGGTCTCCGTCAGATCTATGAATGGTGCAATATCAAGCCGGTGGAAATCCCCACATCACACAACTCACCTGATCCTTCATTTGTTATTTTGAACCACTGGTGCTGGCTGATAAAGACATGTGTTTTAGAAACATTTTTACCTGGGCCAAATCAAAATGCTGCTAAGCCAGGGGCCTCATATAGTCGCAGCTAGTTCGCTTCCGGATGTGAAAATGACGCGCATACGTCCACGAACGGTAGTGTACAGACATGGTACTCATGTACCAATGGTTTCGTCAGTAAACTCTTCGAAATAACCACTCATTTGGCATACTTCCTTTGCAGTTGCGAAAAGTTTTTGCACTTCCGGTTGGTAAATGCAGACTAAACATGGCTGGGACAGGGACATAACCTTGCTAGCAGTTGCGAATTCTGTAGTGATAGCTACACAGTTTATCACCCTGACTTTCAGCCCTGCACGAAACACAAATTTGTCAGAGCGGCCGAGCTTTCCTATAGCGATGCACAGAGCACCTCCGTTAACCGGATGCAAGGCTCTTTTTAAGCCCACAATCAGTCTATGGAAAGGTTACTTCCGTTCATGCTCCTATGTAATCTACTTTGTGCGTTTTGGAGATTCAGGCTTGTATTCAGGAGTGTTCTCCGGTTAGACAGGATACCTACTGCATAAAAGAACTGACTCCGCAGTAGTTTTTTATCTGCCGACTTGTTCTCTTTTAGTCGTTTCATCTCAATTCCTTGGAACATATTATAGCTAGTTTGTGCTAAATCAATGAAAAACCCACTGTCAACTTAAACTGATTCGGAATAAACATCCTACTGCACCTTCTCCCATCGTGGCCGTATCATAGCCCCATCACAGCCGCCTCTAGTTCCATAACTATAGGCGTCCGGTTTTCATTCAGTGTTGGGACAACTGAGTCTTGTGCTTTTTATCCAGCTTTGCTGATTTGTTGAATAATGTTGGAAAGTGAAGTTCCTAAGCTGGTGGAATTGGTTCAGGTAAGTTTCCCTTAGTTTGGTTATCAAATGTGAAGCCTACTTCATGATAAGCAATAGAATTTCGGTCAAGAAAGTGTCACTTATAGGTATCACTCTCGATCAGCTGAGAATTTGACTGATTCGATAGAGCGTATGGGGCCAAACCCCATGTTGGACCCTATTCGTTGTGGACTTCGTTGTTAGGCTCGGGCTTAGTCCTCCCAGGCATCTGAATAAGTGTTTTTCGTTACTCATGAGTAGTCTGTTGATAAAGAAACTTCAAATACTGCCGTCGCGCAGGCATCCGACTAGGCATCATACATCCAACTCTGTGTTCAACCTGCTATCAACAGCCCCGAAGAATGTCAACTGAAGATGATTCACTCGTAGCACCGCACATTTTACTGGGGTGCCTCGACGGGGCAGACTTTATGGCCTTTGGAATTCAACAAGTTGTGTATGTTGGTGGGTGATCGGATGGCAGTTGATTTGTTCGCCGAGCTGGGCGAATAGATCAACTGCCATCCGATCAATCACCATTAAACACACCCGAGCTACCCATATTTCGACAAGTTGTATTTGTATTTATTGGTTGCTTCTAATTAGCGTTCCGAATAAACTTTGTATCAGTTGTGCATTGTCCCTAACTGCTACAGTTTCACGGAAAATACGGGGAATAATGACACAGCAGCTGCATACAGGTCCGAACAACTTACTGGCCTTGAATTGTTATAATTGTTGAGTGAAGTTACATTACGATGTCTGAACAGGCAAGGTGACGACTTTGATTCCTAAACGTGGAGGAGCCGAGTCTCGACACCTGCAAATGTGTCATTTCTTCCATGGTCTTTTGTATATCGCTTTTACCCTTCCCGACAGGGTTCCAGTTGCGCTGTCCCAGATTCAGCTGACAAGCTGGGTCTTCCGGTGCTTGTAACTTCTATACATGACCCAACACGATCTCATCCTACATACAAACGCTCGCTCAATAAAATACTACCCTTGCCAGCTTCCACGTCTGTTGATATAAGAAGTCTCGAAATCTCGAAGGTAAAATCCTCCTTGTTTCCTTCTAGTCTGCGGCTGGTAGAGGTTTCATCCCGAACTTTCAGAATCTGATAAGCCGCCCGGCCTCTTCCAAAATGCTGGTGCAGTGGTAAGCTACATTTATTCTGCTGTGTTATGTGTTCCCACTGTTAGAAATTTTGGATGAGTCTGCAGGCTATATTTTTCATGTTTTCGGAAGTCATACATAACATGATGTCTGACGACGAAGAACCGTATTAGTTCCTGATGACCCTTCTGACAAAGCTTATTGGTAGTATATGTAACGAAGAGACGGTGTTTGCAGAATGGAACAGCTACCCCTGTCTTCAAAAAGGGCACGCGGACGCTGAGTGAAAACCACCGTGGCATCAGCCTGTTGGCTGTGGCGTCGAAGGTGCTCCCTGACCCTCTCCTGCGAAGGTTGACTGAACACAGGGAGAGACAGATCCATGGATTCCGTCCTGTAAGAAGTTTCATCGATCATCATATCTTCACCCTCCGATAGATTCTGGAGCAGGGGCACTGCTTCCAGCAGCCAACAATGATTGTGTTTCTTGATCTGAAAGCTGCCTTTGATTCTGTGGACCGTCGGGCACTATGGCAGTGTATGTGGAGCACAGGTGTCCCCCATAAATTCTTCACCCTCCTTAAGGCGCTGTACGCCAACTCCCGCGGCCGTGTAAAGGTCTGTGGGAAGCTCTCGTCTGAGTTCACCACAGTGGTGTCAGACAGGGCTGTCCTCTTTCACCCTTCCTCTTTAAATTCGTCATTGATACGATCATGGAAGACTCACTACCAGCCCCTAATGCCTGTGGGACCAAAGTGCTCCCGGGGCGTCTGCTCACAGATATCAAGTACGCAGACGGCACAGATCTTCGCGTCTAGATATATATATATATATATATATATATATATATATATATATAATTGTATCAAAAGCCCTACAGTGAAGAGAAGAGAAAAAGAGTGGGGGAGGGAGGGGACCTAATGCTGGCCTATATCAAGCATACTGAGGTGCCTACACCTCCAACCGCTCAATCAGACAATCTGGAAAGAAACTGAAAGCAAGAACGCCACTGACATCGATTAGCCGCCATTTCTTGCAATGTCTCCAGCCAAGCACAGACGGGGTCACGGGGACCCCATCCTGGAAGTCTCACAACACCAATCACACCCAAACTCACGGTTTGGCATGGGCTTCACACCTGCAAAGTGTAAAGTGCTACTGCAAGACTGGGTGAGCTCGAAACCTAACCTCATGATTGCGGATGAGCCAATTGTGGTACTAAACAGGTTTGTTTATCTGGGCAGCTGTATCGGTCCTGGTGGTCTCGCGTAAGAGGACATTTTCATCCGGATTGGCAAGGGCTGAGCAACTTTGTGAACTTACGACACCTGTGGCGTAGGCGTGACACCAACTTCTCTGTCAAGGGTCGATTTTACAATGTTGCGGTGCGCTCCTTATTACTTTATGGATCGGAAACCTGGCCGCTGCGTGCCAAGGACGTCAAAAAACTTTCAGTGTTTGATCATCGATGTCTTCGGAGCATTGCCCAAATCTGGTGGGAACACCGGATCAGCGATTCTGAAGTTCGTCGAATGGTATTCGGGAGAAATAACTCACTCTCGATAGATGAACGGATCATATTGCACAGGTTGCGCTGGCTTGGCCACGTGCTGCGTATGCCAGTCGACGGACTTCCTCGAAGGGCTTTTTTCGCGCAACCACGTGAAGGGTGGAAGAGAGCCAGAGATGGTCAAACAATGACTTGGCAGCGAAGTATAAAAGCCATTACCAGCAAACTCAGCTGTGCTGATTTTTGCCGTTTTCCTGGATGGGGACCCCGAAACAGGTTAGAGTCATTGTCAAACAGGCCCAGTCGCACCCTCAATGGTGCTAATGCATCCAAGCTATCGCTTTCGATGAATAGCTCCCTTTCCAATCCCCCCACTCAACAGTCCACATACAGTTTTGTATTTACGCACTAATTTATCAGCTCCCGCCTCCAACGACCAGCTGCCTACCCAACCTCCCTAAATCATCGGTGAAAGAAACTGTGGCAGCTACAACGCTGTACCGAAAAGTACGCGGTTATTACAGCTGACAATCATGATGATGATGATGATTGATGAAGGGTTGAGTTTTTCTGGACTTATCCGTTTGTGATAGAGCATTGTGAATCGGCGGGTTTTTTGAGCGGAAAACTGACCACTAGATTGTGCGGGAAGTGTAGATGCACTTTTCGTTTGAAAGGCTTCATTTATCGGCAAGTGTTTTCTGGTTCCTCTTTCAGCTTTGTTCAGTATCAGTCTTACCTTCGTAAGCATCGATCCTCCTCACATTACTTCTTCAGCCTTTTTGTTTCCCTCAACTGTGTGTGTTTGGGGAGTCTTTTGCTAGGAGCTGTGGTGGTTGTGTTTTCTAGTGGGTCAGTTGAGGGACTTTTCTCGCAACCATTCTTTTTGGTTGCGAAGCGCCAGATTTCTGAGCTTATGTCGTTGTCAGTGATGGAGACTATCGAAATTCATCAAGCATATTGAGTACTAAGTGATACGTGACCTCTTGCCGGATGGTAATAATTCTTTGGATATTCCACTTGATACACCCTCCCAACACACTCCCAGCAGCTATTTAGCCTCCACCCAATTTTTCATGCCAACCTAAGCGTCCGTCTCGTTTGAAGAGGAGAGCCCCGCTATACTTCAGGCATCCTTGTTTTATAAGTTGACTGATCACTTACCTTTTGTCCGTATTTAGCTTCAACAAAATCTTCAAAGGAAACAGCCTAGTGGCTATCGCCAAATAAGTTCGAGCTATGGAGTCACCAAACGCACGCTGGGTGGACGGTGAGTTTATCCATTTTTGGCTGATTATGTCAGTGTCTTCATGTTTTTTTCAAGTGAATCTTGAGTGGCACATGAAGCTGTCTCAGGCTTAAAATCCGTTGTTACTTTGGTCTTGTTTACTGCCTAAGTGCCGTGTAAATGGAGTGACACGGAATATTAATTCTATCCTGCCGTGCTTGATGGTATACCTTTACACCGTTGGTGGTGTCAAAAGTGTCGACGTTTTCGTTCGTCGATTCTGAGCCACCAGTTACCTAGTCACACATCCATAGTGCGGATTCAGTATCCCAGCTGCCTGACCAAGGATACTGATGTTGCCTCGACCTTTGAAAAGAAACACCACAACACTCACCAAGTTATTTTCCAGTACACCAGCAGATTACACTGATGCGCAAAGATTGTAAGTCAGAAGTAATCTCATGCAAATAGCTCATCAAATCGCTACATTGATTTAGGCAACCGTAACTGGCGGCACACAAACATTGTGCTGAGATCTACAGGAATCTCCCGGTTATGCTGTTCGTCGACATTATGTGTAATGAAAATGATTGAGTGTTTCCATGATTGCGACAGCTTCGTCAGGTGCATCAACGTTGGTCATAATGTGTACTTATCTTCTTTGCCCATCACAGAAATATGGAATACCGAATGCCCCGAAGTGACCCTTTCTTTTAGGAGAAAACATCGCAAGACAGAGCGATGTTCCGCTGTACAAGAAGAACGTTTTGTATCCCAAATAGCTCAGCGGCACACTTAGCAGTATCCCGGGGACCCAAGAACCAGAAGGCATTTGTGTCGGGAATGAGAGAGGTCTAACAACAAACTTTCGACATCATCTATGTCAGACCACCTATTTGTAGCTGCTCAGGAAATTTTATTAATCGATAGCCCCCTCACACAGTCATCGATGTTGTCTGCTCATCCGAAGCGTCTTACTCAGCCAATTAGTTAGAGGTTGTTCACACAGAGAGCCATTGCATTGCGGAAAAACTGATCGATCGATCAGTGTGATTGACTGTGCAGACGATAGCTACTTGTTTTATGGTAAGAACATTGGTACAGACAAACTGAATGACAAAACTGAGCATAGGCATAGTCCACCATACGAACCTGATGATTTGAGAAGTTAACATGTAGAAATCTTTGTACTTCAGTTCACCTGGATATTTTACCAATGTTGCCCTCTATGTCACTGAAACGTTTACTGTCGTAATAAAGCTATAATTCTGCTCACCGCTGAATGCTCCACATAAAAAACGGCTTTCGCTACTCTTAGAAGAAGCAAAGACCGATCTAAACGTCATACGACTACACCTATCCCTGCTTAAAGATTTACAGCATAGTTGTCGTTCTCTAAGAAACAACAACCAGTTTCGTTTCACTCAAGGCTCATAGGTGGCAGCAGTGATGCGGGGTGTAAATGATCAAGTCGCGCTGCTTAGATTGCTCAGCTTCATATGGGTTTTTGAGAATTCTTTTAGTCCAATGAGAGCTGTTATCGTATAGTCCGACTGCTGTTAGACCTGATTCATCTGAAAGCTTGTGGGTGCGAATTTACTGCTTGCCTAGCCATCCGCATAGGAAAGCGCCCATAGAAAACGCCCACCACTGCTCACTAGTTCCCTTCTCGCAACTGTGTGAGAACGCAAAGATACATCGGGGCAAGCGAAGCCTGACTACAGCTCCGTTGCCAGGTTGTTAGGCATAATCCATGCGATGGTACCGTCATAAACTAAGAACAGGCCTGACATCATCGGTCTAGCCCACACAATAACAAGTGTGGTCGAACGTGACCGCATACACACTAAAGTATTCTAACTTTTTAACTGTTTCTCGTGCAACATTACTTTTCTGGGACTTCATGACAAAAAATGATGCAGGCCGAATGTATCGCTCAGACGTTGCCTCGTCACGCAAATTTAGGATGAATCGACTACCATGAAGTCGATTTTGATCACGGATGGATCCGTCGTACTGTCCATACCGGATGCCGTAACCACAATTGTAACGACGTTTTCGATTTCTTGAGCAACGAGCACCAAGGTTAGCAACCAAACCGGCAAAATTCCGAACGAATGACCACGCAAATGTACTGTACTATAAAAATTAAAGTAGTTAAACGGATACGAAATTACCAACGTCAACGGTTTTCGACAAACGGCGAGGTACTCCAAAAAGCAAGCAAAGCCGATATGGATCAACAGTCAACGCGTGGTTGAAACTGGGTCATGCATTAAAACAAATTTATAGCTGACCAAGTTTTTGATACAAAAATGGTATAACAGAAGCGGTAAAAACAATTGGCGCGGTAAGGAAAACGGAAAATACAAATGTCTTGTCCTAAAACCTTCAGTCCTGTGCGTTTTGGTGGTCAACAAACAACAACAACATTTCCAAAGCTGAAGTTGTGGCACAAATGCAAAACTATTGGTGCCAGAACATTTTCTCCATCTCACAAGAAATTTCTGTATCCGATTCTCAGAACCACACGTTTCTATTGATTACTTTGCATCAAGCGTTTTGCCCCAGTCCACCTGCCGTCAGTGTAACAGATCTAGAGCGTTTCTGTGTAATCGATGGGATGAGTCGACTTTTCCGGAAGTAGTATCACTATACGGGTATATCATGTCACAAACTAGAAAGCGATTTACGCGTTATTACCTTTTTGCCACTCATTTCGCCCGTGAGAAAATCACGAAAAGCCCGTTTTTCTATTCCGGAGCGATGAGAGGAGAGTACATTTTGAGATGCCTCCGCATAACAGTGCCCACACAAACTGTCGCTTTTTTCGCACGTAGACTATTCCCTAGAAATGCACATATCGCGTCCACAACGTCGCGCTCATGCAAGTGGTTTGCAGGTTTACGGTTATTTGAATGTACGTCCGATAGTCTTCCTTAGTTAACTGCTTCATTTAAGGCCTTCTGCAACTTTGTCACGCTAGACTGAATTATGGGCCTTCAGTCTGATCGACCTTTCTGATCCGCCTAACTGCACTTCACTGTTCAAGGTCATGCCATAATGTGGTCTCGAACTAATAGCAAAATACACCCTCTGTATTGTCATGCCTAAGGGAAACCGTATTACTTCTTCTGTGCAAGTGGTCTAACTGTCAAAAAAAAAATGCCGATGAAGACTGAGTGCACTGTCTGTGTATGTGCTTAGACTGTACATCGATGCCTGAATGTTTCACTGAACAGTTGCACGAAACCTGGCATCATCGGGTCCTCGAAGAACAACATTCAAGGTGATAAATGATTGATTAAAGCAGCTAAGCTCTGATGTCTCAACTCACCAGTGGAGTGAGTCAGTGTATCTAGATACCCGGTCTCAGTCTCCGGAGGGTCAATAAAGACGGTTTTCCGTTGGTCAACGCATATAGATGCATTTTGTAGCAAGAGGCAAGTGAAGTGAACTAGCGTGTCTTCACACGCACACATTTCAGTCCTTAAATGCGATGGTTTCTGTAGCATCCGGCAATGCATTCCAAGACCACTTGTTAGCTACGCGCGTTAGTTTGATGAGTCCATGCCATGGATGAAGTAGTCGGATGCTTCTTTCCTGCAGTTCGACCATTCTATTTGGTGGTTTCAACGAAATCTGGTTCCTGTAGTCTTTGTGTTGTAAGTGTGTTAGCTGGGTGATTTAGGAGATTGGTAAAACTTATTCTATCGCGTGTGATAGTCTAAATACTTGAGTCAGAAAACCTCAAGCAAGAATACAAAGGACACCAGATGAAGGTTAGCTAATTGGCGGATGTACGAATGGGAGAAGAGCGCTGCGGCTCAGTTAGTGACAAGAGAGAGGAAATGAAATCTTCGTGAAATATTATAAAAGGTGGAATAGTTCGTTAGGATCTGACCGTCCCAACACGTTGTACATCTACATTTTGGCGGGCATTCGAGTGGCTGCGAACTATTTGGCAGTTTGACGTCATTGTTCGTCCCCAAAGCATTAGTTCTCTCATGTTCCGTTCGACGTTCCTTTTGGAACAGTCTTCTAACTGATCTTGATCCGGGCCATATTTTGCGGTTTCTTCGCACCGCCCCATGCCTCACAACCTTGCTTTGTTAGGTGTCTGCTGTCATGATTCCAAATGGAAGCGTTGACCTAGGTGGCATGACGTGAAATTGCATACTGACCTGGTTTGGGACGACGGATAAGCTTTGCTGTGTTGCAATTCTCGTAATTGCTTGGCACGATTAGGTTACAGCTCGTCTTCGCTGATTCTAATTAAGTAAATTAAACGTGAAACTTTTCAAAATAGACGATGTGCAACCCTTCAAAGAATTTTTAAACGGACAACCAGCCAGACTAGTGGCTTCTTATTAAAACAGGTGCTTCCGACCTTCCTTATTGGCGCTTTTGGTTAGTATGTTTCCAGAATTTCCACTTCCAAGTTTGTTCACGAACTTGTTTACTCGTTTCGCTCGCTTCATTCAGTCCCCTCTAGCACTCTTGATGATCCCTACGATAAGCACTGTCTTTTCATTTAATTCTCGTCAGGCGTGGACCCAGTACTAACTTCGTGCCACCCATCCCTTCCGGTTCGAGCCCTAGTGCCGGTTACAGTCCTCAAAGTGCCGATCCGCCGAACCGGCTACAGACGAAAGATGGGGACTGTCCAATTGGTGATCAACGTCTAATGCAGTTCGATCAGAAAATAGTTGATCTGATCATGAGCGAGGTATATGTCGTGCTTTTTTCGATGCCCACTTAATATCCCATACCGCTCATCTCAGGTGGATCCTCCCAGGCAATTTCAGATGAAACTTTATTTGTATACTAGCTTTTAACCTCTTCCGGGCGAGATCGAAGCGTTTTCTTATATCCGCTTTTCGTTCACTCAGAATGGTTGCACTTTGTAACTGCTGGTCCTTTCCCGTACTGTTTATTGGTTCTTCCAAACAGGTAATGAAGCAAGCACACTCATTTGCATATCGATTTGGTTTTCACGGAGACTCAAATTGATCTCTCGTTTGATTTTCTTCAACTGCACGTGCTGCACAAAGGCGGCCGCCTGATGTTTCGGTTTTGTCAAAATCTGTGCAATTTGGGTTCAAGTAGACCATAAGGTTGACGGGTGGGATGGCAGCTGGGCACCGTAAGGGTGTTACAGCTGAACGATTATTATTATTATTATTATTTTATTATTATAAAGACAGGAATTCGGGAATGGCGCCTACCTGGTGAGTACCAAGAAGGGCGAATCCTACCATGTGCTGTCGAAGAGTTTTCAGCAACCTTCTGAGTAGCTTCCTTTATGAAGACGATGAAGCAGGTCTTCTTACTGTGGGCTGTTAGAGCTGTTAGTTAGAGCTGTTTTTTCAGTCTGTTAACCAGCGCGCCGTCCCTTTAAGTGTGAATGCCTGTTCCTAATTTTCTCTTAGGTAATGGAGTCCAAAACTGTGATATCATGGGAAGATATTGCGGGTCTCGAGTTCCAGAAGAAAGCTCTGCAGGAAGTCGTCATCTTGCCCATGCTAAGACCGTAAGTCGTTTTCAGCGCGTGAGAATTCACAGATACCACCCTTAACTCGTTTGCTCAAACTTTTGCTAGATCACATCCTCTCTGCCAGTAGTCCGTGAGGAAGCGTTAAGGTGCACGCATGTTGCCTGAATATCACTTAGTTGCGATTCCGTGCCGCGACTATCTTGCCGCTGAAGAACTGGCCAACGTTATTAGATATATTCATGAAGGCCACGGGATGTCGTCCTGAGAAGTGTTACGAGCGTAATACTCACTCATTCGCACACTGGTCTGCTTCACAAACCTACTTGCATGTATATGGTAGTGTTCGGTCTCAACCTCGTTCCTGTGAGTATTGTGGCCTGATTGAATATTCAAACCCTCAATCGAAGCACTCGAACGTTTCGAAATGCTATTGGATTCTGTTCTACTAGAGCGTATAGAGTGCTTCTGGATATTAAAACAGGGCATTGAAATGTGCAGTCTTCCGTGGAGTAGCATGAGGTCGCTTTTCTTGTTTTCTCATTCAGCCCCGAATTCATGTACTTTATGTTGATTGAAATGTCAGGTTACATCACAGTGGGAATACCCATATTTTTCTCAACAAACACACCCTGCTGCATGGCTATGGTCTGGTGTACGACCACCTTACGATAAGTATATGCTTTTCACACCTCAGGATGATGATGATTCTTTTCTTGTACCACTATTTGTCTAAAGGACGGTTAAACTACCGAAGCTAGAGTTTTGCTAAGTATGTCTCTTCCGGTGAGACTTGCCGTTCCTCCACTACGGAATAATTGCTTCATGAGCGATTCCTTCCCATGTACTTAGCGGTTTTCACAAGTTGTCCATACCCTGGACATCCCTGTTTTACAGTTTTTGTCCACATCGATGTCCGTATAAGGTATTCTGTATTTTTCGAAAAAGTTTAGTGACAATCGGTAGATTTATTGCTGGGCAACGTTTCACTTTTGACACAAAAGCTTCGTCAGGTCAAGTGATTACGTTCCGAGGTTGGTTGAGATTTAGGACGGAAGGAGAACCAATCAGCTAAGTCAAGCTAAATCTCTGTTGGGTGTCGGCCGAGGGATTTTAGTGTGTTAGAGTGGTTGAACACGTGTTGGGTCGGTGGGGAAACCTACATGTGTTTGGGTCCAGCCTAGGGTCTACTTCTTCTGGTTCGGTTTATTTGATGGTTCTTCTTGAACTTCGTTTGAAACTTCTGTCAGTCTGTGTGGGTGAGCTAGTGCTAAGAAAGTTGTGTAAGAGGGATGCTGTGACCTTTGGTCGGTTGGGGTTTCCACCCCCACCCCCCGGTTTTTTCCAATGATCCTAAGTGGATTGACAACCACACCGTCAACTCGGCTTATCCAAGACCGCTTTCCATACGCTTGCTAGCTCCACACCCTCGATTCTATTCACGCTGTGATGCTTAGCAATTTCCACCGCCTCGGCTATCAGCCGCTGTGGTGTGAATAGCAGTCCCCGTCTTAAAACTTCCATATTCTCCAAATCTATTCTATGTCCCGTGTCTAAGGCATGTACCGCCATCGCTGAGTCTTTGACACTCGGGGAACAGACACAGCTTTCGGTGGATGAAATAGTTGAGGGCATAAGAGTGTGTTCGAATCTTGATAAGTTTGTTTTTGACACAATTGTTTGCCCACAAGAACAAGGCCTTGCAATGAGATCTCCAATATCCCCAGTTTTAGCCCATATTTACATGGAGGACTTCGAACAAATAGCCTTGACCGGATATCATTGTCCACCCAGAGTTTTTTTGGCGTTATGTTGCCGACACGTTTGTTGTAATCAAAAGAGATAACGTGAACAGCTTCCACGACTATCTCAATAGTTTAAACCGACACATTAAATGTAGCATGGAAATAGAGTCCACCTCGGGCACATTACCCTTTCTGGACTGTATAAAACATAAGGTTGGTGGAAAATTGAAAACGACTGTTTGCCAGAAACCAACAGACACAGGAACCGTCTTAAGCTATTCATCAGCACACCCAAAGTCCGTGTACGCCAGCATTGTCCCATCGATGTCTCGTCGAGTTAGAGCGCTGTGCACAGAAGAGATCGACCGGACGGTAGCTCAAATCGAGATTGCCAACAAGAAATAGGATACACAGTGAGTTTGATTAGGCGTCAACTAAGGAAGATTTTGGCTTCAGTATCTAGACGCAGTAAGGAATGGATTGGCACAGCAGTCATTCCATATAAAGCAGGAACATCGGAGGTTATTCGAAGATTGTTGAATTTAGCCAACATTCGAGTAGCTTTTCAGAAGGGAAAAACGCTACACTCAGTTTTGGTGCAATTGAAAGATCCCCTGCCGACTGAAAGGACTGGGGACTGTGTGTACAAAATTAACTGCAACGATTGCGCTAAGGTTTATATAGGACAAACTGCCAGGAAACTGCACACCAGAATTGGTGAGCATAAAAGAAGAATTAACAAACCACCAAGGAATGCAGAACAATAACAAACGCTGGTCAAAGACAGCGATGGCGGTACATGCCTTAGACACGGGACATAGAATAGATTTGGAGAATATGGAAGTTTTAAGACGGGGACTGCTATTCACACCACAGCGGCTGATAGCCGAGGCGGTGGAAATTGCTAAGCATCACAGCGTGAATAGAATCGAGGGTGTGGAGCTAGCAAGCGTATGGAAAGCGGTCTTGGATAAGCCGAGTTGACGGTGTGGTTGTCAATCCACTTAATTGGAATGGAAAAAACCGGGGGGTGGGGGTGGAAACCCCAACCGACCAAAGGTCACAGCATCCCTCTTACACAACTTTCTTAGCACCACCCACACACAATAAATCTACCGATTGTCACCAAACGTTGTCGAAAGCGATGACTACCCAATTGATTCCAAGTATTTTTCACGTGTATTCTGTATTCTTCTCGCTTAACAGTGATTTATTTACCGGCCTACGTGGGCCTCCAAAAGGACTCTTATTGTTCGGTCCTCCTGGAACGGGTAAAACTCTGATCGGTAAGTTATCCGCGGGATGACAGTTCGAAAAGTTTTCTTAGTACAACACTCCATTCTAGGAACGCTAATACTTTTCTCGGTGCTTGAGGTAGCTCAGTGGTCAGGATACAAGCTTACTGAGCAGAAGGTCCGTGGTTCGAGCCGAACGTGTGCATATCCACTGCTCTTCTCTAGGCTTGGCTAACCCAGCAGTGTCTCAGCCCTAGTGCTATTCACTAGAAGGAAGTTACAGCTTAATTATTATATATTATTTCATTATTGTTTCAAACTTCTCTCGATGAAAGACCACTAATATCAATTGTATCAATCGTATTTTTGTTTCGTTGAGATGATGAAATTTGAGTCGTATCTAAATACTTTGAAACGGCTTCTGTGACTGTATATGCCAAATCAGCGACAAAATTTCCAGAGATTCGGTAAATATCATATTATCTTGCGTCCCTTCACCATCTCCAGTGCATTCGACACCGTGACGCATTTAACTGAGTGGTTTTATGCGTGTTTTTTAACGGGAATATTGGCCTAACCAAGTTGAATTCAACCAAGAATGGTGATTGATGCACTGGCGACGTCATCTGTTGAATGTAGCGGTTGATTGATCGTCGTCGATAGCACCGGGATTTTCCGTTATGTTATGTCCTTTTGATTGTGGCGTTTTTTTTACAATAACCCCATGTTGCCATTGGGGAGCAATTTGGACGAACACTGGACACCGCTTCGTTGGTCTCACCAAACACTCAGGTTCGCGAACTTAAATAACTAAACTGGGTTGATGAAGCTCCGTCCAGTAACCGATCACACATGATTGCGTTCATCGTTTTTCACCGCGAACTAATTGCGCCGAAAATGCATGTACGCCTCAGAGAAGTTAAACGTCTGATGGTTGCTCGGTCTCCATGGCTAATTGTTGTCGGAATATTGCATCTCGAGAACCCATCTTGTCGCTGATATACCTGACTGTCTCACTAATGGAAAGCATATCGTTGTGCTTTGTTCGCATGTAAGTGCACGTGCACCCCCATTGATATCACGACCGTGCGAGTGATTTTCATGAAAATAACCTTTGTAACTCATCAGCTGATCTGCAATGGCAATTGATGTGCTCCTTGCCAGACTCTAGGAAGAGAATGTAAATCGTTGGAAATAATAAAGTCGTAGGTTCACGCTGTCAGTGGGATCTTGGCTTCAAATACCGCCTTCGATGTGTAGTCACCTCACCAATATTGCTATGCAGGCTGTTGCTTCCAGTGCCTAGTCGTCCCTCCTCCTGACCGTGGGTAAATAATTGAGGTATTTTGAACAACTCTTCAAGGACATTTAGTTTCCTAAATCGGAAAAATACATGGGAAACGGCCCTAGACCCTTAAAGCTGACATTTCTTCGTGCCGAAATGGCCAACTTGGTGAAAGCTCAGTGGCGAAGGCACCGTAATTTGCTTCCGAGGGAACTGAGAATAAGCTCACCTAAACGCTCAAACGCATCTGCTGATACGATTCGGACTGGCGAAATAGGAACTATTCAAACGCAAACGATCACTGATGAATACCAACAAACCAC